CATATTTCTGGAACAGGAAATAAAATCCATGAAGCTCTTCATTCACCATATCCATGTTTTTGTTCCCAAAAAGGGTGAAATGGTAACCAGGCTGACTGTTCAGTTCTACTTCAATTTGTCCATATGGAGTTGCTAAATAAGACTGGAACTCCCGAAGCAGCTACTGAAGAGAGAATTCAGTGGTCGGTGCTCTTTTCATTGTTCAGGATCATTAGGCTACTAGTAACAATAAAGGCTTCATAAGCTGCATGGACTTTGTCTAGGCGTAGCTTATCACACATGCAGTAGGACTTCCCTCTCTACTGCCCTCGGATTTTGTGATTAATGCTCTTCATGGAACCATGATCAAAGTAAAATGAAAGCCTCTAGTGGTCCATCTAGTTTCTGTAATTTCATCTCTCATTTTATTTCGGCTATTATAACTGTTTCTTTTCTGATTTATGTTTGAGTTTGTTGTTTCCTATAGCTAAACGATCTCTTTTAGCTGACACCTGCTATGACTGTTTAAAATTGCAGTTACTAAAGAAAACTGAGGCGCAATTGAGACAAGTTGTCAATGGCTACTCTTTATTCATGATCATGATGTAAATATTTTGGGACAAACAGAAGAAATCTCTTGGTGAGTTCCGCTGCATTTATGTTTCTGATTTCAAGCATGTGTGCTGGGGTTGTATTCTGCTGTGGATGATGTCATATAAGTGATTACCCCTTTGGGTTTTATTACCTGTATTGTGTGCAAGAAAGCATCTTTTGGTGAATCATTACTTTACATTACATATAGAACTAAAAGAACTCTTAAACCTGAGTAACATTAATCCATGGAATCACAGCATTTTCATCATCAAATTGACCTACTTTCTGAATTTTTCTGCAACAAATATTTTATACTTTCTCTAGTACCAATTGAAATTAGACATTTTCTTTGTGAATTAGCAAAGGGTAACAAATGACATAGAAGTAAAACTACTGAAGATCCCTTTGTTACCGCTTGCAAAGAATTGCTCAAATTACTATATTTTCTGCTAATATTCCACCTACAGGAAGGATGTAGCACTAACTTCTTGCTTTTATACAAGTTGAAAAAATGATCATGTATTTTTTGTGGTTCTGCTTCTGTACAGTATGAAGAGATTGGCAATTAGGCCATCTCCATGGCAAGATCCAATCAAGAAATGATTCCTGCCGTTTTCCCCTTTAAAATATGGAAATGACATTGTAGTCAGTCACTATCCATGAGATCAGCAACTGTAATTTTGCCACAATTGCTATTGTCTAGTGCATCAAATTGGTTGCAGATCTGCAGGATGTCTTTCTCTGCTATCTTTCCCATCTCCTTGAGCTTGTAGATTACAAATTCAGATTTACTGCAACCACAAGAGTATTAAAATTATTTGATTTACATTCACTAAATACCAATAAATTGTTGTAAATTAGGAACCTGACAATGCTAATGTGTTAACAAGATGACAGAAATGTCCAAGTAGACAGAACAGATATGACACCTCAAACAGAAACCAAGGGGAGGAGACCTGATAAGAGATGGTTGTTTCCTTCTTGGTTTGATTGAATTAAATTGTAAACATGATAATGCTATCTAATTCATGG